GTACTTGACCTGTATTTTATATTACAAATTCAATACAATCGAAAGAAATCGAAAAGAGCATGGATTTCGGGGATTATGAAAAACCGTGTTTTGAAAATTAACAATTTTTTAATAAAATTGGAGCATATGATGCGATAGTTTATTGATGCATATAGTGTGTGATTTAATATTTTTTCTCACTTTTAAAATTTTCCTAAATTTTGATATCATTATTTGTCATTTTTCAGAGGAAAAATATTTTTTGACGATTTTTTTATTTCATAACATTGAAATTTATAAAGGATTTTATTTTTATTTTTAATCATATGATATAGAAGTGTTTTCTAATATTTTTTTAAATCATGTTTATTTGTATTATAAGTTATATAATGATTCAAAATGATCGTAGTTAACCTGTATTCTATATAAAAAATATAATACAATCGAAAGAAATCGAAAAGAGCATGGATTTTGGGGATTCGGAAAAACCGTGTTTTGAAAATTAATATTTATGATGCGATAGTTTATTGATGCATATGGTGTGTGATTCAATAATTCTTTTATTTTTTAACTTTCTGAATTTTGATATTGTTATTTTTCATTTTTTAGGGTAAAATTCTTTTTTTGAAGATATTTTTTATGTCATAACATTGAATTTTTAAATGGTTTTATTTTTATTTTTAATCATATGATGTGGAAGTATTCCCTATTTATTTTTTTAATCATGTTTGTTTGTATTATAAGTTATAATATATATATATATATATATATTGCAGTTGTAAATAAGATTTTTTAATTAGATGATATTATAAGATAATTTTAATTTTATTATTATTTGTATAGTATAATAATCATAAAATATAAACCAATAATTCCAATTCAAGTGTATAATATTATAGTTAATTAGGTTATGTTAATTTTGGATTGGCAAAGTGAGTTAATAAATGTTTGTTGTGATACTAATTTCAATTTATATGAGTATTATTTTATTATCTTATAAAATGGAAGCCTTTTTTAATATTTTATAATCATTTTAATGCAATATTATTATACAGACATCCAAACAGGTAAACAACATCTTAGCAATCACGTATTTTTTTGTAAATAATTAAAGTACAAAATGTAACAACCCCAATTTTTTTTGAAACTTTTAAAATATTACTTTTAAATAAATTTAGTGATTTTTTGAATTTTTTTAGGCCAAAACCGACCGATCCAACCATTTCTTCTATCCGGATTGCCGATCCAACCGATTCTCTGATCCGAATCGTTGATCCACCAATCCACAAGATTTTTTGGGTACCCAATCTGGGTCACCAACCCATTTTTTTAAACATTGAGCATGCATATAGAAATTATGAAGGCCCATTATTGTAAATTATTAATTCCATAAGTAATACTGATAATTAAGTACATTACATCACTTAATTATATCATCTGATTAAAATTATGGAAAATTACATAATTCCATAGTACCAAAATGCATGTGTTCTATACGCAAGATATCACGATAAGAAGATATGTTTGATCTGGGATTCCCAAAGCCATCTAATATTTATTATTCAACTACAAGGGATCAATAAAATGAATATTTATTATTCAACTACAAGGGATCAATAAAATGAAGTGATTTGAAGCTCAATAAATGCTTCAAATCAATTCTTCCTCTTAAATTGTATGTGGACATTCTCCAATTGATCTAGCTTTTTAAGAACTCAAAATTATTTTTTTCTTAAATTCGACCTTCAAAATTATTTTTTTCTTAAATTCGACCTTTAGGTAAATTTTTTTCATAAAACATATTATTATGTTCCTTCTTCCTCTTAAATTGTATGTGGACATTCTCCATTTGAACTACATTTTTAAGAACTCAAAATTATTTTTTTCTTAAAATCGAGCTTTAGGTCAAAAGATTTAACAGAAACATGGTGTACTCGTGGAGCACAAGTTCTTTTTCATACGGTGGAGTTATGCTAGTTGTGCCCAATATGTTAATTCTATATGGGCAATGTATGCCAGGCAATAATTCAACATTGTTAATCAATCACGAGAGTATTGCATGCTCCCTCAGAAGCATACTGTCCAACAACTCCCTCAGGCAAAAGAGTAAGAGGATATTTACTGATCCAAATTTTGGAATTCATCTAAGTATTATTTTCAAGAAAGCTTGGACAAGACAGCTCTTGGTCAACCTTACGATGTTAATTTAATTTTTTTGAGGTACAGTGAACGTCTTATTTAAATTTTTTCCTTTAAGGTTGTCATTAGAAAAATAAAGCTTGGACCAGACAACTCTTGGTCAACCTTGCTGATAACGTCTTATTTAAATTTTTTCCTTTAAGGTTGGTCATTAGATTCTAGGGGAGCAAATGCACAGTATGCTCCTATGGAAGCAACATATATTTTCACATCAATCATGGGCTATATAAGAGCGAATCAAATAACTACTGAAGAATCTTGATATCATATGGTGTCAATTAACAACAACGTTTTGGTGGCTTTACAACCAACCATATTATCTGTACTGTGCATAGTGAAGTTGGGTTTATTAAGTTCTCAGGATGTCAATTTGAGTTAAAACCTTGATTGGGGACTCAGTGAAGAAGAAGAATCGTAGGTTGTGTTAATTTGGGAGCACTGCACACATAACATCATCAAGAAAATGCAGCTAAAATGAGTAGTTAGTTTTTTTTTTTTTGGGTAAGTGGGAAGAGGCCCTAACCTTTTGTAGGAATTGTCTAGGAGATAGCAATGCAAATCATCAAGTGCTAACCAATTAAGCTCGGCTCTTTTCTAAGCAGTGAAGTTCTTGCAATGGATACTTGTACTTGAAAATTGTCTCATCAATTTAAAGTAGGAAAAGTTCTTGGTAGGTTGGCCGATTCTTGTATTTGCGTGGTTTTTTAAGGCATCTAGGATCTGAACACATCTCAAATCATATCAACATCAACATTTTTGACATGGCACCTCCATGCACCATTTAAAGAAAGGGAGAAGTCGGATTTAAGCAACATTCAATATTTCTATAGTGAGAATTCAAGAAATGTTAAAAAATGTTTTAAGTTTATTAGACATCAAACACAGGAAAATGCATTTTACACCTATGAAAATGGCTGAGCCGATAGTAAGAAGTGCTGGGGATTGACCCAAGGGAGCAAATATATATTTTACTCCAATATGTAGAGGATAAAAACCAAGATTTGGAAAAAAAAATAAAGGAATGAAAAATAGAGCAGAAAGATAAAGAAGAGAGGCACGAAGATTTATATAGTTTGGTATGTTACTTATGTCCACGGAATAGCAACTTCCATAGTTCCACCAATCACAAAAACACCATAAAAACATGGAGAATACAATGGATTAAAAGCACTCACTAAAGCCCTAAAACATGTTCATTGAGGGAGGCCCTAGGTTGCCGAACCAATTGGTGGGTGGGGTACCCACCCAAAACCCTAGCTAACTTGGGGGGAAAAATCAACTTCAGAGATCTCTTTATTTTGGCCAAGAAGTCTTTCGGATCTTTGATAATTTCATGGGTAGCTTTCGGGTGTATTTAAAGAATATAAAAAATTATGTACCTCAGCAATTTTCAAGAATTTTAAAGCTATAAGATTAAATTTTTCTGGTTTTCTGTAAATTGCACCAGTACTTTTCTGAAATTTTGAATAATGCAGAGGGCGTTTCTTTATGAAATTTACAATGACTTGTGGTATTTTTGTGAATTTTAAATATATCAGGAGATTGTTGACATTTCTAATGGTATATTCAAATCAATGGGGATCATTCCCTTCGTGTCAGCTTTGGACCTGAACTGAAGACTCCTGCCGATTCAGCTGGAATGAAGCAAATCTGATAACATCGAATCAGTTCCCATAATCAAATTGATTATTCTGAAAAAATATAAAAATATGATTCCTCTTCTGGGGATCCAGGGTACAGGATTAGCTACCCAAGCAAAGAATGGCCCCCTTTAACTAGATAGACAGATTATGAGCCCACATATAGGTCGAAAGATGAGCACGGGACCATGTCCATGTTAGTTTTACTGTTCTCTATAACAATTTCAAAAAGCCTCTGCCAATTCTACATCAGCCACTTTCAAAAGCTAGCACTACATAATAAACAGCTGATAAATTAAAGCACTATTGGAATCGGACCACCTGGAAGCAGAAAAAAATAACTAGCCAGTGGTCGAAAACCTTTTCTTTACTTTTTGTTTTTTGTTTTGGTTGCATAATTCAGCACAAGAAATCGAACTCGAAATTAGGACAGAGTGTTGCAATCTGCAACAGCTTAGCCAATCAAACCCAAGTCCGACTACTAATTGAAAGCCAAAATTTGAATATACTTGACAGACCAACACCAAGAAAGATGATAAAGGAAATGTAAAAAATTCATGTATATCATTAGATATGCTATCTAATGGTGCAAATGAGCTCAAAGCAAGTATGCAAGTAGCCTAACTGCCACCGTTATTGATATGCAAGAAGCACAAGATGGCTATATGGGCACAGTCGAAGAAATTTGCGCTGAAGGACCTCAAAGCACCTTGCATTTCATAATCACTTTTGTGGGAGAGTAAGCAATTAAAATAACGAAATTCATGCAGCATGAGCATTCTATAGATATCAACAGGTCTGCACCATTAGAAGGTAAGCAAAATGCCAATTGGCTGAACGAAATGGAGCTGTTAAAGGGCCTACATACATTAGTGGTTGAATCCTGTAACTAACAATGGTAACCCATACTATGCTATATAATCTGAACATAAATATATTATAATCTCCATAAATGAATTATTTAACAATTTACCCATTAGCAACTATTCCAACTTTATCATGTGTTCTTTTAGGGGTATTTTGAAATAAAACAAAAAAAATTGTGGGTAAAACGTTAAATTGTTCATCTCTCGTTGATATTTTGATAAATTTCCCCAATCCGTAAACTTTCACATAATATAATGCTTCCCAAACTCCCAACCACCACTGACTTTAGTCACACAAGCAGACAACAGTAGAAGGCTTAAAGCAATGATATTTGTCAAATTTATACCATTGTACTGTAATTTCTATCGCGTAAAATATACAACAAACACAAACCTTCTGTAAGAGCCAAGGTAGTCACAATGGCGAGAAACCCTGGCAAACTTTGCTCATCCAAATACCCCATTATAAAGCGAAAGCAGTTTGTTTTTTCAGGAAATATGCCAAGCGACATGTCCATACCTTGAGTACTACAATGTCATGTGCCTTCAGTGTATCACATCTTGGGATCCACTAGAAGGCCCTTCACTTGGGGTTGGCTCTCAATATCATAAACCTGAGGAAAATACTATCAGATACGAAAACCAGAGAAAGTGAGACCTTTGACCAAGCCTCAGTCTGTCTCGTGTATAGATTGGAGATTGGTTGTTACTTTGCCATCAACAACCATGTGTTGGGATTTGAGAGTTTCCATTTCCAATCGAAGCTTGCAAGAAATCGACGGGTAAAATAGTTCATTCCTTTCACTCAAAACACTCGTTATAACCATTATTGGCCTTTGGGTCCAAGCACTCGTCAAAGCCATTGCTACTCATGCATTCCAACAGGGCCTTTGCATTGAGCTCCCTCTCAAATCTCCACAAGTAGTTGAGACCCACGAGGAGCTCGGTAATTTCTGAATCAGTCTTAGCATGGTTTGCAAAATAAAGAGTTTGTAGCAAAAGAACGTTTGTCTTGGAAACCAAGTGCTGTTGCCCGAAATTCCGCTCTGAATGCCACCTTATCATGTTATGAGCCAATGGTCCCAACAAATCCAATATTTTTGACAAGGCCCCGCTCCACTCTGATGCAAGACCAGGGTCATAAACTGAAGAAGCCAAATTCTTAGCATATGATTTTAACCTGACCCTTAAAGCTGACCTTATACTCGATGGTAACATATTGTAGAGATCATCTCTTGCATCGGGGCCAATCAAATGGGGAGAGGAGACCAATTTCTCGATCACAATTATGACATTTGCATAGTGAAGAGACAGAGCGGCTGCTCCAAGTGTTGAAGGAGGTGGATTCAAAAGCTTTGATTTTGAGCTCAAAAGACCAGGCTTGCTAAACCATCCACAATTTGAGACAAAACCCAAGTTGGGTTCTTTCTTTATATCTCCGTTAGGCATTTCGCTCACACTGTTGAGGTTTGGAGAGCTTTCCAACATTGGAGAACTGTTCCCCATATTAACCCACCCTTTAAAAGGCTTCATTGGTCCAGAGAACTTGCGGGGTAAATGCTTCCCACCGTTCATGAACTGTGCATGAATCTCCCTGCCTACATTAACTGGACCCGATCTCATTATCGACTTACCAAGAGGACCTGAAGAAAACCTAGGCAAGTGGGGATCAGATTGATAAGGCGGGGTTGCGAAATAAGCAGAAACAGACATGCTTCGAGGCAAAGAATCACGAATACTCGACTCATTGATTCTTCCTGCAAACCCTAGCTGAGGTGCCCAGAGTCCAAAAACTCTCTTGATTCTTCCGAATATGGTGAATACTGATCTCACAAGAAGTCGGGTCGTGGACTCATACCCCCGATTCCAAAGTGAAACATCTCGGAGATGCTTAATCTCCTGCCTTTGCCAAACCACTTTTTGTTGAAACTCATAGACATTGCCCTTGTTCGGATCATTGCTGGATTGCATTCTTCGCAGAGTCTGTTCGAGCTCCGAAAGCACTTCAAGCTCTTGATAGAGATTGGAGGTGAGAGAAATTAGCCTCTCCATTTTCTTGATCTTCCTCTCTATCTTCTTGAGATTGAATTCCCAGTTGCAAGAATCAGTCCCATTCTTAACAAATTCCTCAAATAAGTGTTCAAACCCTTGTAAAGCCGAATCCGAGCACTTCTTTCCGAGCCTAACAACCGATCTTGCAATGAAAGCCAAATTATCGAGAATTTCAGCACAAGCCAACCCTAAAAGGAAATCCTCGTCATCTGAGACCAGTTTCCTGACACCATCGAGGTTTATGACCTCATTCCGAAGCCTGATAACCTGTTTATCGCTGAGCGACTGCCATAGATGAACCACTTTCGACATCAAGCTCGCGATCTCGAAACCTAAAACCCCAATAACCACTCTTTCATGACTTGATTTCTTCTTCCATTGAGTTCTAAAAGCATTGGTTACATGGTTCCCAACCCTATTCAGCCATGATTCCATCACCATCTTGCCGTGCAAATTCCTAGAACCCGAAGCCCTAAACCCCAAAACCCTAATCAAGCAAGTCGATTCTGGGGATTCTAGAGGGAGAAAACCCCATCAAGCCTCTGAACAATTCGGAAGCAGAGAGAGAACACAAGATCAACGGAGAAGGATAATCTTGAGCTATCAGTGAAAACACTCCCCACCCCGTAAACCAATGTCTCCATAGCAATTTCACCTCATAAATCACTACAAAAACCAAAATCCCCAACCCCAGCTCTAATATTACAGAGCAGGGGGCAACCCACTGCTTCAAGAGAGAGAGAAAGAATGAGTAAAAGAATATTGAAGTTAGAGAGAGAATGAAAGAAGAACTTACCGGTACTGTAAGAAGAGAGAGATATGAATCCGTATCAGCAAGCAATCGTACTTTGATGCTCAGAAATCGGAATGTTAATAAGAGACAGATAGAGAGAGAGAGAGAGGGGATTGTTAGAGAGAGAAAGAGGGAATCGAAAGGTTTGTTTCAGAAAACAACAGCAAGCAGTTATTCGGAGAGGAAAAGGGCCAATTTTAGAGAGAGATAACGAAGCAAAGCAAAATTTGGAGAAAGCTAAAATTCGGATTGATAAATATAAGGGAGTGGCAGAAAAAAATTTAGAGAGAGAAGTAAAAGCAAGTGCCAAAAAATTTAGAGAGAGAAAGAAAAGCAACCGCCAAAAAATTTAGAGAGAGTAGAGGAAAGGTGCAAGAAGCTGCAGTGAGCGAGCGTGCGTGCGAGCGTGCGGGCATGCACCAGCAGAGAGTGGTGGGGCCCACCACCCCTCAAACCGTGTGCGTCGCAGCAAAGAAAGGATTTGACCAAGATGAACGGCAAACGAGAAGTTGGACCCGCAACGCCTTTTTCACACCTATATTTCGGATATCTTCCCGTTTCGCCGAAACTATCGGAGCCGCGTTGCAATTTTGAGTGGAAGATCATCATGACTACGAAATACTTTTTCGCAGTCGGCCGCATTTATTGTGGTCTGCCATTCTCCTCTAATCAAGTATCATATTTTTAGTGAGGCGATAAATACCCATGTTTTTTCATACTACAAATAAAATTTAAGTGTTACTTGGATAAGTTACATAATTAATAAAAAAATTTGTTCTTCAAAATAAGTCACATTATCAATAAAAAATGATTAGGCTGATTTTAATGAATATAATAAATAAATAATAAAATTAAATAAGTAATGATCATATGAAACGTTCCCGCATCATATGCGTAAGATCTCAAATGATCACCATTAAATTTGACACATATCTCTAAAAAAGTTATCACATAATAGTGGGAATTGATTTTTTTAAAAAAAATCTGTGTCAAATTTAATGATGATCGTTTGAGGTCCTACACACATGGGTGTGGGAAGGTCTCATATGATCATTACTCAAATTAAATATATTAAGAAGTTGTTCAACTATATTTAGCAGATCGTAACAGTTACAATCAGCTCGTTATGATAGTCAAATATTAGATTTGATAGATTTTAAACTAAATCTAATTTCTTACTTTAGACTAGACCGACTATATATTGGTGTTGCTCTGGTGATAACCGTGTGATATCTATGGTTAGATGTGATTTTAAGATGAGATCCAAAGTTTAAGTTCAATTTTCGGTGGTAAAAATTGCTAGAGCAACTAGAGTTGATGAAAACTTTAACCTGTGCGAGTCTTATTCGATAAACAAGGTGAGTACTTCAATGCAGTTCACTCCGCTGCTCTTTTAGATATCTTGTTAAATAAATGCTTAAAAATAGGCAAAGGGTTGGGGCATGGTGGTAGCACTCTCATACCAACTTACCACATTGCACACACCACCTACTGACACTTTCAGAAAAGCAAACTCTCTAATTTCAAACCTACGGACACCATCCATTAACACCTTAAAAAAAAGCGAACTATCTAATTTCAATCCCGCTGATACCACCCACTAACACCTTCAAGGTAACTAACTCTCTAATCTATATAAAAAAACAGGTACTGCCCTATCTTCCCTAAAAAATGAATAAAATGTACTAGACAGGTGTGAAATACTAAAAACAATGATAATGTTTTGCTAATTTAACCCAACACAATCTGCATCAATTATCAAGATGTCCTTGCTTGTTCAGGACTCCAACCTTAAAACAATATATTTAAATTAAAAAGTACATGCTTCGAGTTTAGAAACAAGAGTAAGTGACGCTAGTTTCCAAATTTCGCTCAAAATATATGATATATCCATAAATGGAAGAAAAAAAAAACTATACATGTTTTAGGTTTGGAAGATGAAACAAACACGAGTATTCGAGTTATTTCAAACACGAAATTTACTAAAACAAGCCTAACAACTAGAACCGGGGAATCTAAGTATTCTTATCAAAATAGTCAATGAGGTACTCGAGTGAAAATAAATTCTATGAGTTAGGACTTTGGTGTTAGTTGAAGTGATTTGACCACCTGATTTAACTTTTAATATGCCTTGATTTTAGAGTCATTATGATGATTTTCATTGCCAAAAATTCCTCTTGTCGAGAATTTAAGGTGAGGCTTTATTTTGTTTTCATGATGCATAAGCTTTGAAAAATTTCCCTTATTTTCTAATTGAAATCTATGTTGTTTATGGCAAATGATGAGAACCCATAGGCCTAGCTTTTTAGGCATCTTATTATCGAATACTTCTTAAAATACATCGCTAACCTCAATATATTTTTTTACATCAACCCCCAAGTAAAAAGTAACTATTTTGATAAAAATACCCTTATCCAAATGCACGTTTCACTTTGTTTTTTTGTTCTTATTAAAGCCAATACGACATTTGCTCATTTTTTATTAAAACTAGTTTGACACAATATGTACTGGGCCAATTTCAACAGGGACAAGTTAGATTAGCTTTGAAAGAGACAAGCCAGTTAAAAAAAAAAAAAAAAGTTGGACTAGCTTTGAAAGAGACGAGCCGATAAAAAAACGAAGAAAAGATAAACATGCACTTATAAAATGGGTATTTTCATTAAAATTTTACTTTTATACGTAGGTGTTGTAATGAAAAAATTAGTTTGTGGGATAACGACGTGGCTTAAAAAATATTGGGGGGTGGCATGCATAAAACTTTGAGTAAGGGGTATGTGTAATTTTCTCTTCATTGTGAGAGTTAAATGATATTATCGTGATAACAAAGTATGAAAATTTAAATAATAGCCATTTTGAAAAAAAATACATATTTAAATAATAGCCAAATTGAAAAAAATAGAAATCAAAATTTAATAATGGACAAATTTTATATAGAGCCGAGGCTCTAAACAATTAAATTAGAGCCCACCACAAAATTTTCATTAGAAAATATTATTTTGATGCTCATATATCCTCAAATTTATCATTTCGACAGCAAGATGCATGGACATAAAAAAAAAAATAGATTTCAAAATTTGAAAACAGTGCATCTTGTAACTCATTTTTTGGTCGTCAATTTCAATATTTAAAGTTTTCATAGATATGCTCAAAATAAACCATTTTGAAGTTTTAAATTTTATAATTAAATATAAAAATATATTTTAAGACCATTACAAAGATTCTCAATATTAAAACCACATTTATCGATACTATTTAAAAGTGCGTTCTATTTTTTTTATTGTTAGAGCATCGGCTCTATACAAACCGCACCTTTTAATAATTGAATTTTGGAGAAATAATAAACTACACATGCATGCTCTTTGGAGAACATTACAGAGATACACTAAACGGTAAAACGCCGCGTCGATGACCGATTCAATGGATGCCACCGCCCCTCCCCCTGATCAACGGTCATAGTAGCTCCACGCCCAATATGTTTTAAATATGAATCAGAGACGTGTAGCCAAGTACTTCCGTGAAAGTGCAAGTGCGGAAAAGTTTACGTCATCCACGTCACAGTACGGATTTGCCTAGGGAATAAAAATGGAAGAGGGGCATAATACTTTACTGAATATCCGTTATGCCCTTCTTAATATAAATAATTTCCATATACCTGTTCTTGCCATTTTCTTGGATGCCCATTGTCCTATGCCACTAAATGTTTAAGTACCGTTTTAATTCCTTTATTTTGGGCCAGCAATGGGCCCGGAGGCCGTGTTGAAAAATTAGGGTTTTATAAAATGTTACTCAAGAGCCAAACTAGGGTCACCAAATGTGTATAGAATTAATGTTGGGTGGACTAAGTACAAATATGCTTTCGGAGCCTTATGTGATCGTTGCATATTATTGAAAGGGAAGTTTTATATGGCAGCGGTAAGACCAATAGTGATTTTATAGGACATAATGTTGAGCAATTAATAAACAACAATATACATAAAATAAATGTAGTTAAGACGATGATGTTGAAATAGACGAATGACAAGCTAAGGAAATGATATAATTCAACTTGAATGCATCTAATAGAACTTAAGGGGGCTCTAATAGGCGATAGGACTAGGAAAGTAGACATAGTGTTTTGGCTATGTGCAGTGTCAACCTAGAACATTAAAGGTTTAAAAGGGCCGACTTGGTTCAAATTGAATGTTGTAGAGGGCTGTAATGGAGCAAGGGGACCGTCCAAACGGATATAAATAGAAGTAATGAAAGTAGATATGCTCACTTGTGATATGGCTAGGGCTAACTGACTCCAAATAGATGAGATAAAATTGTGATGAAGATAGAAATGCACAATTCAATGATGAGAATTGCACTCGAGATGTAACACTACTAATTATTTAGTAGAGGTGGCAACAAGTCGGATCTGGACCCATACCTAGCCCCAAGCCCGACGTGACTCAAAGGTATCAGACTTAGACCCAAACTTGACCCATTAGATTCAATTTTTTAACCTACACTCGAACCGGGTCAGGTCTGAATGTCGGGACCCCGGTCCATTGCCACCCATGCTACTGATATTGAAGCCCAAACCCAGTCCCTTGGCATTTGGATTGGATCGAGAGTACGTGTCTCTCAACCATAGGTTCTACAAATTCCAAAGTAAAAACAAGTGGGAAAAGATAATATTTGAGGTGCAAGAATATGGAGTGCAATCATTTAGTGCCCCGTTCAGTGGCGAGGACAAGTGATTGACCATTGACAATCGAACCATCCAACCGACTCGGTCGGCCACAACCATCCCTTTCTTGCCACTTAATGGACCTCACTCCACGGTATTAGCAAAATGTCAATGTTATGGATGGGTTTTTGGTATGGTTGCGGGTTTGCCAAATTGGAAGGGATGGCATAAAAAATTGGTGTTTATGATGGCCTTCAAATCCCAGGTGAATAGTTAAAATAGATTATTTTTAAAAGAGAAAAGTTTATATAGAGCTGAGTCTCTAAACAATCAAATTTGAGCTTACCTCAAAATTTTCATTAAAAGATGTTGTTTTGATGCCCAAATATCTTCAAATTGATCATCTCGATATCAAGATGCATGGACATGAGGAAAAATTGGATTTCAAGTTTTGAAAATAGTGTATTTTGTTACGCATTTTTTTACCGTCAATTTTCAAGATTTTCAAGTTTTCATAGATCGGTCGATCTGCACTATTTTTTAAGCTTTAAACTTTATAAATAAATATAAAAACATATTTTAAGGCTATCACAAAGATTTTCAGTTGTGAAACCACATCTCTCGATACTATTTGAAGGTAGGCTCTAATTTGATTGTTTGGAGCCTAGGCTCTACACAAACCTCACCCTTTTGAA